CAGCAGGAAGGAAGCTGCAATCCAAGTGGCATTCAGTGCTGACAGGGAACATCTGCAGGCCTTGGGCAAAAGGGAAACCTACTACTCTTTGCACAGGGGGTTTCTCTGGTGTAAAGCAGACCTTAATGACACATTCACTGACTGTTTCTTATACTCAGCCAGATAAAGAAAATTAGGAGTATTACCCTCACTCAGTTGGTAGAACAAAGGCTTGCTCATGTTTTCCAGGATCAGCAAGGAAATTGAGTTTTTGAGACCTCGGAACACATATGTACCCTTGGTTCTGCTTTCTCAGACAAAAACGAGTAAAGTATGTGTTTTGAGAAGGCATACTGAATTCTAAAGCATTCCTGGCTAATCCTACATTTGCTTGCTGGTTAATACCTGTAACTATCAGAATTCTTATGTCCAGTTAAAGGTTGACAACAGTTGTGCATCTGAAGCTTCACCAGCTTTGGCAAGTTGGGCCTACCAGCAGCTCACACCAGGGCCTCCACTTCCACATTCAGGACACACTAACACACATGACAGAAGTGACATACCTGCATATTTTCTCTCATGTCTGTAGCATCTCGCAGAGGATGCACTGCCATTTTAAAGATGTCATCAATAGTCTTCAGACCAGTGTTCCTCAGCATGGTGTACTCCCTTGCCTTCTTTCCTATCCTCACTGAGAGGCTGCGCTTTTGGGCCTTCCCACCTCCACTCCGGTTGGTTATTGCAATGTGAACAAAGAGGGTAACGTGCTCCATGATATCACCAACAAAAGATCGCAGAGGTATGTGCCTGTATCCGGGCTGTAAGCACTCCAGTGGAATGGTGTACTGCCCTATGAACTCGTCCCCAATGTAGTCATCATCCAAAACAACAAAACGGATCATGGCCAGCTCTGGGAGATTGATCTGAAACTCAAAGCTTTCATCAAAAATGGGGTTATCACTGTTTTGCTGAACAGTTTTAGTTCTTTGTTCTGTGCAGTCTGCAGGAATCCCGTGTATTTCTATGCAGACATAGGGGTCTATGACGTCCCCTTTTGCACATGCACCCTTGGGCTTTGGAAAGTTCTGACCACTGATAATTTTGACATGTAGAACTTGGGGAGAGACCCCCGGAACAATGCCCTTGGTATTTGCACTGAAGTAAGACACTTCATCACGCATCACTGAAGGCCTGAGAACGTACCCGCATCCCCCATTCTGTAGAAACCAGCCAGTGTGTAGGTCCATCATGGGGCCTGGGGTCTGATAGTTCATTGCCACTATCTGGCAACCACAATTCCAAAAATCTTGAGGATTCAAGTTACTGGAGTCTATCCTCATAGCACTTGGGTACACCCTGGACAGAAATCTCTTGTTGTAGTTGACAAAATCTTCAGGGTATTCATTTGCAATCCGACTGGCCTCTGCCTCACTGAAGGAGCACATTTCCCAATAATTTTGAGCTTTCATGGATGTCTCAAAGCCTTTGTATTGAACAGATTTGCATAGGGACACCAAGTCGGACAATTCCCTGCAGAGCCAGATCAGCTTTGGCTCCCTTGAGCAGTCCTCTGACAGTCTCCGAGATATTTCAGCCTCTTCATCTTCATCTGTGACTTCTCCTTCTAATATATCCTGGTCACAGGGCAGCTTCTTCCCCTTCACAATGATCTTCATTTTCAGTTTCTCAGGTGATGGGAGGTAGACGTCTGAGGATAAAGGTGCCTCTGTGTAGAGTTTGTTTCCAAAGATCCTTTTCATGTGTTGCACCACTACCTTCTGCTGTTGTACTGAGCAGTGGTTCCCCAAGCAAAGAATAAGAGGGTATTCTGAAGCAAAGAAGGCCAATTTGTTTATCACCTCAATAACATTTCGAAAGGCAAGTGGTGATGTCATGTTGTTACGGTTGCAAATAATGGGTTCATTGTCTGGGCCGTCACAGACATCTAGTTCAATACTCCGACAACTCATCTTTAAAGCTCTGACATAACCATTGATATCAGCTGGTCCTCTCAGCTGGTCTTCTATTAGATACGTATTGTGGGATGCATTGATGTAGTAATGTGACAAAGGCTGTGTCATGTCTTGTACAATTTTTTTATGCTCTGGGTCAAAAATATCACATTCTGGGGACAACAAGTATTGAGTAAATCCATCGATTGCAAGAAAACCTTTCAACCGCCCTTCTTCAGAAAGCTCATACCTGCGTATAATATCTAGACACATTTCTTCTGTTATGTGGGTCACTCCTTGCTCAGCCTCTAAGAACAGCATGAGGTCATTGGCATCTAGATATTCTTTGTTTTTAGATATTTGCACAAGCAAGAAATAAACTTCAGGCCTTGTGCAAAGTTCACTGAATGCTTCACAAAATTCCTCTTTTGTTACTCGTGTTGTCAGTTTCTCTTTGCTCTTCTGTATTTCCTTAAATTTTAACCTAATCTTTGATTCCTTTAAGGTGGGGTTAAGTTTCTTTATTAGCTCCACAGATGTGTCTTCTAACAGTATGCCATTACCATCAACATCTGCTGCTTCAAATACAGATTTTAGCCAGGCAAATCGTGGGGTATTATGGCTGCTTTCCATCAAATCCAAGGGTTGTTTGCTACGAGACACCAAGTACCTTAATCCTGATACCCAAATATTGGCCACATCAGCTGAATTGGCGACCAAGTCAAGGGACTCGTAGTTCTCACCATGAATTACTGACAGTGCACAGTCCTCAGAAATCTGGTCTGCAAGTCCATTATTCCTGAAGGTTTCTGTGTTCTTCCCTAGTCTGATTTCTTTTATAGCAGAAATATCAAGCTTGGCTTTCTCAAGGTCCTTTTTGGAAGGCTCCCAACGAAGAGCCTGCAGATCAGAATCCAGAGTAAAAAAACGGTTATAAATCCGGGAATTTGGACGAACTTTCTTCAATTCACACCCAGCCTGCATAAAGCTGATACAGTCGCTGGCACTGCTTATTTTCTTCTCTGATGGCATGCTGCTGAAGGACACTGTTTTCTTTCTTCCACATTTTTGGTTTGAAGGATCCTGTGGAATAATTACATTTTAAAAAGAATGAGTAAGTTTTCTTCGGCCATCCCACATGAGCATAAATAATAGAGAGGATATGTTTATGTAAAAATAATTAATGTTCTTCTGAACCTCAAAACACAACATATTAATCCCTTCCCACAATTCAGTTCCCTACTGAGCTATAAAATACACAGCAACTTGACTGATTGCAGCATTAGAGATACGAAGTTTTCATAAGTGACATTTGCAGCTATTAAATTACGTCACAGATCTCAGCAACTCACTACAGCTGTGAGGAGGTGGTATCAAGTTGTGTCACATACATCTTCAAAACCAATATATATAGGAAGAGGGGTTTTGTGGAAAGCTCCAGCACCAGGTTAATGTCAGTATAACCAGCAGTGGGGTGGATCTCACTCAGATTTAAGAGATGTCATGAAAAAAGGAGGAACTTGGGGATAAAAACACATGAGAAAAGAGCCTCAGCCTACATGGGAAGAGAAGAGGACAAGGACTCTGAAGCAGTGCTGAGGGGAGAGCCTGGGATGGGTCAGTGTGCATGTGGGACACATGGGACAGCTTGGTGCTCCTGCCTCAAATCTGTCTCTTTCCTGCAACCTTGGACACCTCAAGCAAAACTAAAACAAAACGAAACAACACTCATGAGTCAGACCCCTGAGATACACACCCAGGAGAATCTGGGCTTTCTCATTTGTATGTTTTAGTGTCCTTTGCCAAAGGACAATCTCACTAGGCTGAGAAGCCCATCTCTGCTGCATACACAACCACATGGCTCTCATGGCTGCTCTTGTGGGAGCCCCACACACCCCTCTGCTCGACCCTGACCTACTACACACTTCCTTGTCCTCCCATTTGCTTTGAAAAGTAGCTATTCTCATCACTTCTGGGCACCAGGACTACAAAATACTGTGGGAAAATGGACAACCAGGCAAGAAACCAAACACTTTTCTTTAGGGCACATATTCTAACTCCTCTTGAGAAAACACTTAGCCACACATGTAACTGTCTTTTCAGTATCAACTGCCTACTTGCTGCTGGATTTAAACCCAGCTGTCTGCAAAGCTGTTTGTAATTTTAGTGCAGCAACTAAAATTTAAAACTTTTCCCACATATTATCAATTCAAAACATTTCACAGTAATTATAAATTGCAAACCATTCTTTTTTTCTCTGCACAATTTCCATCTACTCCGTTACTACATAACCTATTCAGCAGCTACTAAAAATATTTTTAAAACATCAGTCAAGGTTGCAATTAATAGCGAAACACTTGCTAAAATTGCTTTCCCTCCTATTTCCCTAGCCACTAGCAACACTTTCCCAATTCTCTGCCTTCTCTTGAAAGGACTGACTTATGATGCCTGGATTTTGAGTATAAGAGGGGTCAAAAGGTGAGGACATTCTGTTGCTGAGTGTAGGCACACAGCTCTCCATCTCATTGCCCTGAGGTCCAGCCATGAGAGCTGCACCAGGGAACAGATTCCCAACAGTCCCAAAGGACCTGCTCTGAGCTACCAAAACTCCTGACTCCTTATATGTCCTTTGCAGCCTGGACTGCCCTCCTCTACCCAGGAATCAGTTTCCTGCAGCTCCCATTTATCTGCCATGTCATTCAGCCTTCCTCAAGTCATACTCCCCTGCAAATCCTAAATGCAGCCCCTGCTCTAGCAGTGCACTCCATCCACCCAGCACTACTGTCTTCCTGCAGCTCCCCACTGTCTGTGCCCAAGCAGGACCCCATATAGCTCTCCCAGTCACAGAGCATCAGTCTTGGTCCTTCTAAGAACATCTCCACTCATTGTCTACATGTTTGTATAGGTACTTAGCAAATTACTCAGTGTAAACATTTCTACAAAATTGCTACTGTCATTCACTCATTTTATTAAATAACATCCAAAAATATTTCCAAACCCTCAACAACTGGTTTTAAAGGCATGGGATCTGCTGGGAACAAAATCAACCTCTAAACTTCTAAGGTTAAAGATTTCTCATTAAACTGGTACAGTGACTTCTACTGACAAGACAAATTACTCTAGCCATTTATTGTAGTACTTACTATGAGAATTAGTCTTAACAAAATAGGAAGAAATCGAATGAAGCCAGTGCCTTGGGTCAGCTACTTTTTCCATTAGTTTTCTACTAAAAATATTCTGTTCCTGTATTAACATTCTGCATTTCAATACACAGCTACAGTCATGAAAATTTTCAAGCAAAATATACTAATGAATACAAGCAAATGCAGCCATTGATTTTTAGTTGCAAGATATCCATGCTTTTTGATTAAAATAATCCACAGAAATAATGAGCTATTTTCCCGATATTAAAGTGGGGGAAAATACCTAATTGGCCTCATGGAGAATCAACACAAGTTGCCTTTTAACATTCTCCAGGGATTTGTCTTGGTCTCGACAAAATAGAAATATACTCAGTCTTTCAAAGTGAGAAATGCTAATTTAGATTTGGTGAGACAGTTTTAATTAATAATTATCAAAAAGTTATTTATTTTAGCCTTGCAAAAACTCAAAATGTGTTTGTATAAGCTCAAATGTTGTTATCTCAGTCTGACAAGCCAGGGTGTTGCTTTTGTTCTGTCATGTTCACATTTCTTGAACAAGCACCTCCAGATCCTGATGCCAGGGTTTAGCCAGGCCACGCATCTCAAGGTCCAAGGGATCATCCTGGGTAGCAGAGGAGTGTTTTCTTTAAGAATTGTCCTCCCTCCACTGAGTTCCACTCTCATCTGAGCCTGAAGAATACAATTTAAATACACTTTGCCTCCCCACTGAACTTAGGCTGAGCTGAATTCAACTGAGCCTACAGAGTTAGGTTCCTAATTCTAGTTTAGCTATTGTCTTTCTTTTAAGCCCCTACCTTAATTTACCTCCTACACACTGCTCTTCTAAGACAAGATACCCAGCTAAGAGTATTTCTGTGCTGCAGTGTTTCTAGTGGCTAAATTCCTACTCTATATTACCTTTCACTGGAGAATACAAACAGGAACAAGGGCAGTCACCTGGCAAAGTAAAAGCTGCCAACATCTTACGTGAATAAATAGCAAACCTGCTCTCTTGTGCTACCTGTCAAAAATATTTATACTGCAAATGATCACAAAAACACCCAGTACTCACCCATGCAAGAGCAGTTGTTTTCCTTCATTAACCAAACGACAATGAGATGTAACCCTGAATCTAGGAGGTGAAAAGTCCATCTTTCTGCAAGATGCTAAGTCCATCAAATATGATCTTAACAGACAGTAACTGGCCTAGGACTGCTCTGTATCCTCAGTCAGTTGAATGGATGACACTGAATTTATTGTGGCAATCAAAGTAGGAAAGGATGATTTTTGCTGAAAAAGAAATCTACATCACAGTGAAATAAGGAACTAATTTGTAGATATTCTACCTTAAGACCTTCTTTACCAGAGATAACATAGCTTTATACAAAACCCTGTTATTGGAAACAACCACAACCAGTTTGTATGCAATGCACACACAAAAAAGAAAAACTATACCTATGTGGAAAACCTTTTGCTTTCCAATGCAAGACACTTCCTTCAAAGTGACTCAAACTTTGCTTTCCTTCAGTTCTTTGGATACTTCTTGTAAGGTGACCTAACTAGCTGACTCCATCTCCTGAGCCTGCATAATATCCACTATGCAAAAATACCTCAGCACCTCAACCACGGGACCACTTCAACATGTTCTTAGCTTTCCACATACACAGAACTGCTATGAAATCAGTTAACACCACAGAGCCATAGCTGAGTGCTGGCCTAACTGCATCCTAACATCGCAAACCACTTTTTTTCTGGTTTCTAAAGGTTTCTAAAGGAGGAATTCAGGGCTCCAGTCTAAGCACGCTCCCAAAATAGGAGAATCCCTCCTGTTGAACGCATCATCCTCATCAGAAAGCCTGGATACGTAAACAGCAGGATCACTAAGCCATCAGCAGTTGTGGGAAAACTCCACCCCATCCACCCTGACCTTTGACCACTCAATCTTCTGCTGTTTAAATCAAAGAGCTAACAGAAATAAATATGTGGGATTAAAAAAAATATGAATAAACATATTCTCCACCTTATCCCACCCTGTTTGTCAAAACTATAGGACATACATTTTTGAGCTGAAGACAAGAAACAGCAGTAATGACAGATGAAAAGCAGACCTGCACATGGAAGTCAAGCTCATTAATTGTTATTTGTGTGAAATAAAGTTACCTGAAAGGCCTCTAAAGCACTGACAACCTTCCAGGATTCTTCTAAGCATGATACGAAAGACAAAAAGAATCACTTGCCCAAAGACACCAAAAGCCCTTAAAGAGCTGCAAGGCTTCTGTGAAAGGATGTGAAATTTAGTAATAATGCTGAGAGCAAAACTTCTTAAATGAGGTTAAGAGTCATTTCCCAAAAAAACAATTCAAATTTTCACCAGTGAGCACCACCATTGCTAGAAGAGAAGCTTTATCCTGATCTTTGCCAATTCCCATAAACCTAGCACCAAAAAGAAAGAAGTCAGTGAGTTACTAGTGGCACTCAAAACACCATAGAGTGGGTTGACAAATGGCAGTATAATTTTCCTATAATGAAGTAAGTCAGAGCAGGGAAACGTTTATATGAACTATCCAAGAGAACACAGGAATTCAATGTTAGAGCCAGAGTGCAACAAGATCTCATGCGTGTGTGAGGCTTAGTTGATCTGATCAGAGATGGGACTCAAAGCTTGAACCTGTAGTACTGGCATGTGATTACTACAGCTAGCAATTACCACTGGAAAATGATATTCATTAATAGGACACCAAGATTCTTCTTTGTATCCCAGCAATGTTCTGACAATCCTCAGAGAGCATCCTAGGATTGCCAATTTTGCAGATTCTGTGGTTCTCCTTACAGCCACTGCTATTAACAAATTAATGAGCTGAACTCCCTCTAATTTTTCTTGGCAAGGCCTGTAGCTGTAAGTATCAGATATACACTGTAAAAACTCACCAGACA